AGTTGTTAAAAAGTTAAAAAATTATTCAAAAAGTTAAAAAGTTATTACTATTCACCAAAAGTCAAAAATTACGGCTGCACAACTCCCAATTATAATTTTTTCCTACACACTAATTTATACAATTTTTTAATACACATTTTTTCATAAAAAGTCAAAAAATTAACCCAAACATCTATATTTTTTTCCTCAATTTTTTAGTCCAAAAAGATAAAAAGTACACTTATTTAGGATACTCCAAATAACTCCTAAATTAACACATCAATAGGAAAACAAAATGATAAAATATATGATAATCATAGCATTAATGCAAATGTCGAATGTGTCATTGTTAATTAAGTGATATCAAAGTGGTTGTAGTGTACCACCAAGGATGGTGGCCCAATGGTGAAGGCATTGCCTTTCCACAGTCTTGGGTCAAGTTCGACCACTGGGGGGACGCGAAAATCCTAGACTTTTTAGGGACTCTTTCCTAAGACCTCGCGCTATACTCCGATCGTACTTGGTCAGAGCTGGGGCGGTTGATGAGCTCTACTAGTGCCTTAATGGTAGGTCCCTTCCTATGGATTAGGTTAAATTAGGCCGACAACCGACTACCCCAAAGTCTGGGCCTGCGGAGGTCGTGAGGCCCCACATAACTTTTTTTTTTTTGTGTTAAAAAAAAAAAAAAAGTGGTTGTAGTGTTAAAAGTGATATGAAATTGAGAGGTTGTTGGTAGGGAGGGACAAAGGTGCAGAGATTTGTCAATTCGTAGAGCCCCAAATCATAAATGTAGAAAAAGAAAAAAGTTCAGGAGCCAAGATGGTTGGCAGCCACAGCAGTTATCATATTTTGACCATGGATGAACCAGACAAACAAGGCCTTAACTCATCCTTTACATTAAATGCATTTAACAATACAACAGTTACATGTATGGGCATAAACTACCAACCCATTCCCATAAATACCCGTAAGTGTGTGTGGGTAAACTCTGTTTGGTTGCCAAGAAATTCACAAGGAGAAAACAAAAAATTATATGATTTATTTTGACACTGAAATTCACTAAGAAATTAATTTTTCGTATTTTCAACAAAAACAAGAAAAAGTTAAAAAGTACTTAGGAGTATAATTTGCTGCTTTATAAGCTGGATTTTTTACTTATTATGAAAAAATGTGTAAAAAAATAGAGAGGTGATGTGATTCAAATAAACTAATAAACTGATTTTTTTAGATGTTGCCAAAGAGCCAATTTGTTTTTTTGTGCAAAAACAGTTCTTAAAAATTTAGGAAGCAACTTGAAGTATATAGATTCGGACTAGATCGTGTTGTTTGACCTATAGGATTCATCATAGGTCTGATTTTAGTTTATTCATCTTTTAGACCTTTATATGCACATCATTAATAATATAATAAAAAAAATGATCTAATAATTATAACACAATCAAAACAATTATTTTCAATAATCCAAAAATAAAAAGCCAAAACGATAAACACATTTCAAAACTATAAGTGCAGTACTCGGCATTCTTGGTGAAGAAGAAGATAATAAAAGTAGCAAAATGTAAGGTCATTATACATATACATATTAGTCAAAGTCTTTGGGTTTTCATTGAAAATGATGATATTATGACCATATATATATTGCACTCTTTTGGTAAACCAAAGTTGGGGTCAAATGGCCTAAGTCCACTAAAACTTTGCTAAGGCCTCGTTTGGCAAGAGGCTATTTTAGCCAATTAGTCAAAAAGTTACTAAATTAGCCAAAAAGCCAACAACCCATATCAAAAAGTCAAAGATTCTCTTTTCTCTCTACTTTTTGCACATCTTTTCGTAATTAGTCAAAAAGTCATCCCAAACATACAAGTTTTTTTTACCTACCTTTTTAGCCAAATAGCCAAAAAGTTACTAATTTAGCCTGTTCCCAAACGAGGCCTAAGTATGAACACATTTTTTGGGTAAATATAAAATTTTATTATCTTTGTTTTTATAAAAACAAATTAACTGATTATTTTTAAAATTATATTTTTCATGTATATATATATTTTAAAAAGATAATAAAATTATACAGATCTAATAATTGAATCAATATAATTTTTTTTATATGAACGATCAACGTATTAAATTTTAAAATATGAATCAAATAGATTATGAAAGCGAGACTAGTAATAGACTCAGCAGTTAGAGTGGATGGTTCATTTCGCTTTAGTGGGAAAAATTCTTGAGTGTTAGAAAGATACCACGTGACGTGACATGCAACAAGGTACCTTCAACCAATCACAAACACCGTGACACCTACCCTTTTTGCACACAAGAATTTCTCCTTTAGTGGACTACAAAGAAGTTGAGTTCCAAAAAACACTATGGCTGGGCTTGGGCCAGATTTGGATTTGGACTAGGCCACAATAGTTTCTATGATATATCCATAATGACTTGCACAATTAGGTTCAGACCTCAAACACGACGAAGACCAAATCCAATCCTTAAAAAATAATAATAAATAAATAAATATAATAAAAAAAAGTTAAGTAAGGTGATGTTTGGAAATTAAATTACATTTATGGAGGAAAATGAAAAACAAAGGGATTTGTGTTTCTCTTGGAAAATTTTTAAATAAATTCAAGACATATGTACAATTTTAAAAAAATAAACATGTTAAAATATCTTTACCGAACATGTTACTTGTGTTAGATGCTAAAGAAGTAAGGGGTGAGGGATGGAAATTTTGCTCCAATGGAACTGTTTGAAGCTTGTTTCCAAATGTTAAATTGTTGGTTAATTGGGGAGAGATAGTTAGTAAAGTTGAGACTCGAGGGAGGAGGTTGGAAGTTCTGTCATATGAAGAAGTGAGAGAGGGAAATGAGAGAGAAAAAAGAGAAACGGGCTTAATACAAGGATTTTTAAATATTTTTTTTTAAAAGCACTTTAACATATTAGGGGTGGGCGCGGGTCGGTTGCGGCCACGGAACCTCCAATTCGCCATTCGTCTGCCAGATTGGCGAATTGAAGAAAATCAATCCGAATCCGTCCGTCAATCCGGCGGATGCGGCGCGGATTGAGCGGATTGATGGATGGATACGAATCGGTTTGGCAGTTTGAAATTTTATAAATTTTTAACATAATTCAACCTGGGCACTTTCTAAAAATATATATATATATTACAGTCAATGACTTAAAAAAATATTACAATTACTGCATGTCTCATCCAAAGAAAGAAAGTTTGAAACTTTAGATTATCACAATCACTGCATGCCTCATCCACATATTACAATCACAACATGTCTCATCCACATAAAGTATTACAATCTATGGTTCTTAAAATATAAAAACAATTCAAACCACCAAAATCATGAATAGAGCAATAGTAAAGATTATATGTCTCTGTATTGTTACATTTATATATGTTTTTGAAAACAAAAATCAACCAGCATATATTTTCTATTTATTACTTTTAGAGTTAGATTTAAAAATAAAAAAATATAGATAAATAATACGTTTATTTTTTTCAATTCAAAAAATATATTTAAGTTGAAAACTTTTTTTCAACAAAATATTTGAACTCTTTTTCAATTAAAAACACAAACAAAATATTTAAACAAATTGAAAACATAAAGTCTTATAAATTACTAAGGGTGCTCGCGGTTTGACGGTTCGGTTGTGGCCAAAGGAACCTCAAATTCGCCATCCGTCCGCCAAATTGGTGGATTGGAGAAAATCAATCCGCAACCGTCCGCTCGTCATCTCGCATCCGTCCAAAATGCGACGGATCTGTTCGGTTCGGTCGGTTTTGGCGGATCGATATATCCGCTGCTCACCCCTATAACACATGATTTGATATTTTGATTGTAGGATTCATTCACTCTTTAAATTATCAAATACTTTTAGAACCGTGCTAAAGGCCTCGAAATTGAAGGCGCGAATTTGTCTCGAAAAGTTGTTTTGTCTGTTTGTTTGTTCAATATGTTTTCTTGTCCATTGCTTTCCTCTCTTTCATTCACAAAGTATAAGAAAAGCACAGGGAACAAATAAGTTCTTTTTTTTTTTTTTTTTTTTAAAAAAAAAAAACCAAAAAAAAAAAAAAAAAAAAAAAAAAAACCAACAAAGCCCAACAAAAAAAAAAAAAAAAAAAAAATTGGGTTAGATTGATTGGGTGATAAAATTGACTGATCAGTTAGATTGCTAGTTAAAATTTGTTAATTTCATATAATTTTGTACGAGTCCTTACTATATTTTTATTTCAAATAAGAAAGACTCAGAAGAAATAAAAACATAAATCTTAAATCTTAAACTCTAAACCCACCCCGACACATAACCATCCTTTAAAAATAAATAAATAAAATTACAACAGCCCAATAAATAAATAAATAAATAAAAACAACCAAACTAACACAACCCAACAAATAAAAAAAAAAAAAACAACAAAAAAAAAAAAAAAAAAAAAAAAAAAACCAAAACAAAACAACCCAAAAAAAAAAAAAGGGCGATTCGAGCTACATTTGAGGCCTCAAATTCAAGGCCTCAATCTTTTTCCATACTTTTAATATACAAAATTAGGTTACACGTGAGTTACACTGCGTGTATTTCTTTAACTTCTTTTTTTTTAACAAAAATAACGTAGTATATTAATATAGTTAGATTACAAATGAAAGGATTCGCCCCTGGTCTATCAGCTCGAATCTTTAACTCCTCCCCTCACTACACTTTCGAGTGTGGCTACCAGACCATTATTTAACCTTAAAAATACGATTTTAACGTATTCAGTCATATTTTAAAAATATTGAAATCATCTTTCTTTTTAAAATAAAAATTTAAAATTGAAGTTGTGTTTTAATGTATGAATTCATAAAATAATTTAAATTTAAAAAATAATAAATAAATATTTTTTTTATAAAAAAGGGGGAAAATAGAAAAAGAGTAAGGTTAGCTTTGTGTGACCCATCTGTCCGAGAGGAGAGAGAAATTCCAAATCTCTAACGGCTACTTTACTTACACAGTCGTGTTTAAAAATCTCTCTCTCTTCTCTCTCCGTCTCTCCTCGATTGCCTACAAAAATACAAACCAGTGAGACTTCCGACAACACATAACTAACAAACGCGACCTTCTCTCTCCTACCCACACTCACGGCGACGCTCCACTCCTCTCTCTCTGTACACTTTCTCTCTCTTTCTTCATCGGAAAAAATGGAGGAAGAACCTCAAATTCAATTGTCATCAAGCCAGGCGATCAACAACGAAGAAGAAGAAGTAGGTGGAGACGATGAAGAGTTCTACGAGAAGATTGAAGCCCCAAAGTTCGTTGACTTCACTCGCCCCGATCGACCCCGACCTGACGATCGTTACTGGTTTTGCTTGCGAGTTGGTATCTATTTCACTTCATTTCTACATTTTTTTTTTATGTTCTCAATTTGTCTTGTTCATGTTTTGATTTTAGTTCATGTGTATCTTCATTCATTACTACATTAATTTTTAGTTAATCAGACCCAGAATTTATACTCTGAAAAGTGCCACAACTTTAATATGTGGTGTAGATATAAATCTAGTGATTGTTTGGGATATAGTAAATTAGTATATTTTTTAATTTTTTTTAAAAAGATGTGTGAAAAATTAGAGAGGTGATGTGATTTAAAAAAAATAAAAAATTAAAAAAAGTACACTTTCATGCTGTGTTTGGTTGGGAGATTTGAGGAGAGATTTGGAAAGGGAAAGGGAAAAGTTAGGTAAAATGTGAATAAAATATACATATATTTCACTTAATTTTACACACCTTTTCCCTTTCTCTTTCCAAATCTCTCCCCAAATCTCCCAACCAGACACAGCATTAGTGTTGTTAGCCAAACAACCTCTCAGTGTGGTTTGCGCTATACTTTTGATGAATTTGATTTACACACTTCAAATTCTTAATATTTTTTTAGGGTAACTAGCATTGTTTTTTTTTCTTTTTTCTTTTTCATTTCATAATTTCTTCAATTTTATTCAGTGTATCTCTGATTTGATCAATTTTTTTTGCATAGTTTGATGATTGAGGAAAACTAATTAACAGTTTTTGATGGTTTAATGAAGGATAAAAATCATTTTTACAATCATTGGACTGGGTGAGAATGGGTGACTTTCTGAATAAGAAGGGCATTCTTGAAAAACAGCATTTTTACCAACTTAGGTGTATGATATGATTTATATAATAGAACCAATAGATACTTAAAATAAGCTTCTTTTTTTCGAGATTTTTTTATTTTATTTTAAATGTTTGTGATATTTTCCTTAAGAATCTTCTCCTGGGCTTTTGATAATGTTATGAATTTCGGATTATTTATTTTTTTATTATTTAATTCGATGGACTCTATTGGGTTGCTGAGAAAACTGAAGAAAAAGGGAGGGAAATTGGGTAATAAGGTGTTTCATTCTTTATAAGTTAGAACCTTCCTTTACTTTTCGAGTTGTGTATATGTATATATTCTTCCATTTTCTCAGCTTCCAAATAAAGCTTATGCATAGGTCTCTGCATTTCCTTCATTATATCTGCCATGATTTTTCTGCAATGATCTTCTTGATGTGCTTTTCTTGACCACAGAAAGACATGTATGGTACATAATTCAACAATTCAAGTTTAAAACTGTAGTAAATATGTCATCAATAGACCAAATCTTCAATCTTTTTGTTATAAATTCATGTCCAATTTTTGTTTGAGAGTTTGTCTTCAAATTCTGTTTCAGGATGTGACCAGAAGCATGAAGAAGAAATGGACCCTGAAGCAATTTCCAAAAACTTTTTTCTTCGGGTTGGTTTAATATATTATTATTGGCTTTTCTGTTAAAAGGTTTAGTTGATTGATTTAGTCAATTTTGAGTTTTGACAGCATTGATTCATACAGGTTATGGCAGCCAGGAGCCCCAATGTACGGTTTCAAAAAGCACTCAACAGAAAAGCTTCAGGGTGAGTAGAAAAAGCTTTAAAACATATGGTAACGTTTGTAGATTACTTTTAATATCAATGCATATCAGCCGATATTTAGAACCCTAGTCGGGAGATGAAGGCCGGAAACTAAATTATGCACTTATTTTCAGTTTTCAATATTTTTGCAAACTATGCTGTAAACATAAACGCTACCAAACCATCCCATCCCATCCCATGAGTGATTTTCAATTTCAATTTTCTTCTTTCTGTGGTCTATGAATTTATGTTTTCACTAAAATACTTAATTTAATCTTCTAGCATGAATGAGCAATGCCCACTTTCAGCTCCAGCAAAACCTTCGAAGTCTAGAGTATCAAGATTAGCAGTGATTTCTTCAATTTCTTACAAGAAGATTGATGCAAAAGAGAAGGTTAAGCCCCTTTCCAAGCTGACTTCAACTCCAAAAGCCAAGGCAAAGCAAGTTGCTGCTAAGTATTTAACAACTCCTAGGAACAAAAAGTGCCTTCCAAACCAAGACTCTTTCCGAAGTGTTCAAAACTCGAAACCATCAAGCATTGCAGTGCCCAAGAATAGAATCGTAGCGAAAGCTTTGGTCTTTCATTCTCCAAAGAAAGCAATCACCATCAAAACTTCATCAGAATTGCGTACCCCTTTGACGAAGATTTGTGAAGGGATGAAGAGGCTTGAGATAACCAGTCAAAGGAAGCGCGTGTTGGGGTATGTTAACAAGCCATCAAAGGACATTAGACGCAACCCTAACAAACCGTTGCCTGCAGATCCCTTAAGAAGAAAACTAAGCGCCTGCAAAGACAAAAGCAAGGCCAAGGAATTGCTTAAGCCTCCAAATTGCAAGGATCGGGATACCAAGTCTTCAAGACGTGTCAAGAGAAAGAGCAAAGGGAATTTGGACAAACCGTGCAACTATATGCCCAAGGAAGCTGTTGAAAATGACTTAAGCAGCGATATGGAGCTTGACATGAAATCAAGGGAAGGCTCTGTATTAGGTACTTCAAGGATTACTGAAGGAAATGTATATGAGGAACGTTTGGTAACTGAGAAAACACCTGGAAGTTTTGAATCCTCAAATTCTACTCAAGAAGAAGCCATTCCTTGCTTAGAATTAGAAGCATCAACAGAGAATTCAGACAAGGCATTGTCAGATGCTTCAGGAAGCAAAATCAACTCCTTGTCAAACTCTGAAGAGGGTTGTTTGGAAGAAAATGATTGCAGTGAAGGAATTGACCAGGAAAAGAAAACTAAATGTCAAAGTTTGGGAGTAGGACATGAAGTTGAAGACATGGACAGTGATGACAAAGAAAATGCTTTGGGCACTGATGGTAACAGGTGTGTGAGCCTAGTTTCACCCTTTATATGTTTTGGATTTGGACATTCTTCTTATGATCTACTAGTACTACTTCACCCTTTGTAGTGAGTTACTTTTGTGTAAAATTGGTTACAGAGATGTCGATCCAAATAAAAACCGATCTGCAAGAGAAGTACTCGGCAAGCAGGAGACAAACAAGATCACTAAAAAGGTTTCATTTCCTTTTCTTCAGTTTTTAGATTAACTGTATGCTGAAATTTTCTGTTTCATACAGATACTTGATCATCTTATATTTTTGAAATAAATATAGGTTGCTCGAGCACTGGACAAAAATTTGAAAGAAGGGCTCGTTGTAGTTGCCACCGGTGGTGCTCAAGGTGTGAAGTATAAAAAACCAAAACCCACAAATCCTAAACCTTTCAGGCTGAGGACTGATGTAAGCTATGGCTTTTCCAAATATGTTTCTACCAAAAACTCTTATGTTCTCGTTTGTTGTATCTAATAGAATCCTTGATTTTCTAGGAAAGAGGAATTCTGAAGGAAACAAAATTGGAGAGAAGAATCCAAGCACTAGGTCCTCAGAAAGAAACCGAAACAGTCTCAATTCTCCCTGGTGGAATTTTGCAGAAAAGGCCTGGGAATGATGATAACCAAGTGGGTATTTTCTTTTCCATCTACTAGTAAAAATTGAGAAGATTTCTTGAATTTGTCATGGGATGAATGAAACTCGAAGCAGGGATATTTGCTTGATTTTGATTCTAAAGAAATGAGAAATTTTTTGAACAAAGGTTTGAAACATTCACCGTCTTATGATTTGCAGAAGAGTAGAACATCTGGCCTAACGACTTCAAAAGGACAAGTGCAACAAAAAACAGCTACTACAATAACCCCAAAAAAACGTTCCAATTCAATACAACAAAAACCCAAATCAATACCATCGCGTTTTATGTGTCAAAAATCAGAAAACAGCTTAGGAAAGCCAAAGTCATCTTCATTGCAGGGACAGCAGCATATTAGGCCAAAGGGGTGAGTTCTACTACTAGTTTTTGTGTAATCTCTCATTCTTGATTTATGAAGAATAATGTTTCAATACTCAATTTTTTCAGGGTTGCTTCAATGAAAAAACTCAATGTGATCAAGGAAACATCATCAACAGCTTCAAGATCTGAGGAGGATGTAGGAGAGCCAAGCCAGAGCGATACTAGAGTTGCAAACAAAGCCGCCACTTCTGCTGCTTCCAGGTCATTGTCACGAGGGAAAAGGCGGCCTGCAACCATTCCAAAGGAGCCAAACTTTCAGTGTGTCCATGTACCCAAGAGTTGTGCAAGGAAAGTGGCTTAGGCGATATCATCAGAATTTCCCAGTTGGGTGTATTTTATATCTTCTTGTTCAATCTTGTATTGAATTACATTCGCTGATTGATTTGGTTGCATTCCAGTTTTCATCTTATATGCTCTCTGAAATTTTGTACTAGGTGGTGCATCTTATGTACTTGTGTGTTCATCTACAAAGACGTGCAATATAATTGTTTCATTCTTTTCAATTATCTCTGTACGACAGACTGAAGACAATCTGCACTAAAAAATTTAATTATATATTATACATATACAAAAAGATTTAATAAATATAATCGAGATGGAACAAGACCAGAAAAAGAAAACCCCCCTCCGCCCAGCTCCCTTATCAGGGGATGCGGCTGGTGGGAAAAAACTGTCATCCTTTAAACCCTTGTCCTTGGGGGTCTTGGTTTCTTCAGCTCAGATGTGCTTGTTATTGACTGCTACTTGAAACTGTCGTGGCTTCCCTGAGACTGTTTAAGAGGAACCAAAAAATGGAATTGGGGGAGAATTGTAGAGATTAGGCTGTTCTGATTGGACCCTGTTGGCAACTCTTCTGATAATAAGGATCAAATATAACTGCTTTTAACAGAGGACAAAAGTGGGTGTTGTGACAAATATATTATCAAAAGATCCATGGATACATAAGGGTGATTTTAAATTTGTTTAGCTTGAACTGGTTCTTTCCAATATTCAACAATCAAATTATTTATTTATTGATAAATACCATAAATTTTAAAGTTTTGGTAATATGTGAACTGTTCAGAGTTCAAACATTCACCAAATTTAGCTTCACCAAAAAAACACACTAATAATAAATAACACTGACTCACAAAGGACTCATCATATTTGCTGGGAAACAACTATCATTCATCCACTGAGAGGGTTAAAAGTTGAAGCACAGTGATACAGAGTTTCAAACTTCGAACAAAATATTTAACATCGGCCAACTGTTTTCCCAACTAAGTGATGATTTAGGGGACAAACTATGGGGCGAACACCAAGGTTCAAATCCCTTCCAACACTATTCAATTTATTTGCATCTGATCTAGTAATTGTCAAACGAGACTGAGAAAATATCCTTACATTGTGGTTGCAATCTAGACCACAACATAGGCAAATTGCTGCATATTTTCAATGATGTGTTCCATCAACTAGTCAATTGATTATCCAATACTCTTGATAATGTTTTTCAGTTTCTCATTTGCAGCCACAAGTTCTGCTGCTATTCCTGGTTCATTAGCAGAATGTCCGGCATTAGGAACAACCTGCAACACAATAGAAAATTCTAGTCACTCGAGTCTCGACTATAATAAACGAATAGGAATGAAAATATAAGGATATGAAATTTTTTTTCTACCCTCAAGATTAATAGAAAGCTGTTAAAAGCAAACAAAGCATGTATACCATGGCCTTTATATTACTGAAAACTGATAAGGACTGAGTAGTTTCAAAACTCTACAATAAGAACACAGATATAGTCCAAGGTAATAATAATTTGAGCTTGATGTTTATATCTATTTATGTGGAAAATAAGCTTGTAACCCAGTTAGATAACTTCATTGGTTATTACAATTTATAACCGTTCTGCAGGCATAAACAAACCACAAACAATGCTATGGCCCCCAAAAATGTGTAGAAAAATGATTCACATTTAAAAGGGCTTATGAAGTCGCATGATGGCTTCAAATCTTGTCGAGGCCATCCGATTAACATGTCCATATTGAACGCAAAAGTTAAGGGCCATTTCATACTCAAAATATAGAATATGATAGCCAATATAAGGAAACCTGGTCCCAACTATCATGATTTGTCCACACAACCTCTTTTCACTATTTTGCTATTTTGCTCAAGCCCACGGCATTGGTGAAATTCACTATGTAAATTACTCAACTCAGCCAATTCTTTTAAACAAAGACAAAAGCATCCAAACAACTTAAGGTTCAAAATTCTCTGATTTCTTACAAGTAGGTCCATTCCTTATTCTGTCATTGTCATGACACCTTACATGGCCAGATCCTTAATCTGTATGCGAAAACTTAGGTAAACAACTAGTGACCCAAACTTTATTGCTTGGACTGTAACACTGATAAATGACTCATCATTAGTAATTCTTTTTATAATTTCCATTTTCTCTGAATAATCAAAGTCCCAGTGATCTTCAAAAATCTCAGGGGTTACTATTATCCCATATTGAACCTTATAGTTCACATCATAAATGAACTACATATATGCCAAATGAAAACAGAAAGAAAGACTATAATGATGAGAGTCGACTTATATACATGGCTGATAGGTCAAGATCTAATCTTTAATGTTGTTAATTCTATTTAATGAGGATGGGGTTTTTTTAAGGCCTAAATGACTAATTTGTAAGGGTTGAGAATTGACTTGTACACAAATCTGAAACATAAATAAACAAAATCTAGAGAACAATCTGAAAAGTTGATGCAAGCAATGATCAACTGATTATGATAACCAGCAACTTGACAAAATCAATAATCAACTAATTATCATGGTCACCCAACTTAACAAAATTAGTTGATGTTCTGAAGTGGATGCATGCATTAGACATAAGGAAGGGGACTTGGGAGACACCCTTTTTTGTATAGCTGGAAAGCATCACCAAGCAAAGGATATACATGGACAGCATATAAATCAGAGAGATGGAAACTCACAAAACACCAAACGCAATATGTAATGTAACATGTGACATGAGATGGCTTTGCAAGAGACAATAAGAATGATAACAAGAGCAATGCTACATAAGAAAAGAATATGTTATATCCCCATATTTGCATTTTTAACCCTTCGGCTCAGCATGGAATACGCGCACGGAGAGTCTTATAGCAAGTGTCAGATGCAGAAACTAAGCAACAAAGGTGACAGAAAACAAACTCTTACCTTCAATTCTGCCTCTGGCCAAGCTTTATGAAGATCCCATGCTGACATCATAGGGCAGCACATATCATATCTTCCCTGTAATTAATCAAGATTATTTTCTTCTCAAAATCAGGCAGTGAACTTAAATAGAGAGAATCTTTAGAGGGAGACACTTCATGCTGCAATGACAATTTGACAGTAGCAAATATGAAATGCAATTTGATATTGAGTGAGGACAAACACCAGATATGTTACTGTTCATAGCATACACCAGACACTTCATGCTGCATGTGTAAATATATTACTTGTTGCATGAGTAAGTAGAAAGCATGTCCATATAATATGTAAATAGATATACCTGTACAATTACAGTTTTGATATGCCTTATCTTTTCAACATTATCCAACAGGAATGAATCCGAAGCAAAAAACCCCTTATTCACAAAGTAATGGTTTTCAATCCTCGCAAATGCCTGGATGGAACAGAAGATTTATACATATCACAACAACAAGAAAAAAATTCAACAATCTCAAGTAATCACAATTTAAAAGGAACCTACTCATACAGCTTTATAGGTTCTGCTGGGTGAATTGAACATAGCAATGACTCTGAGTGATAGCATTAAGAGTAACATCAAAAAAGATTTGTGATGGAATAAAAAGGTACCCAGTACTTATACCAAGGGTATTCAGAATTTGGTATCAGCTGAGACTTTTTTTTTTTAAGGCAAGAAGAATTTATTAAGTAAATTTTGGTTCAGTGTGAACAAGTACTTTTACACTTGCAAAGGCCATAAGATGAATAAAATGACTTTGAAAATACAATGTGTAAAGAAGTTAAGTTTGTATAAGTGAACAATCTTTTTCCTTTTTTCAATGGAAAACTTCAGGTCATCACAGTAGATAGAATTGTGAACACCGTAAAAGCTTCACTTATCTCTAATCTAAAAGCTTCACCCTTATACTCATAAATTTTGGAGGACAAGAAATGATATGAGGACAAGAAATGAGGAAAAAAGTTCAGAATTAGAAGATACAATTTGGATGTAAGCAGGCATAAAGCAACTGGTAGCAAGACAATTACGGACAATAAAAGAATGTTAATTTAACTAGGCTGCTGATGACAATAATAGGGGAAATTACCTGTCAGTGATAATTGCAGAAAATTATTACATAAATGGAAAAAATTATAATTTTAGTTATTAATATTGATAAAATTTACAACTAATTTGTAATTATTTTTCAACTTTTACACTGATTTGAAATTCCCACAAAATAATATAATATACAAGAAACTATGATACCCTATACAATGAATTGACTCACCAATGAAAATTTGTCATCATCCCCTTTCTTAATGTTATCTTCATTTGGAAGAAGATGGGCAGTCGTCAGTTCCCACTTGGTCCATACTCTAGCAGCTGCATACTAAAAAGGTAAAAATAAAAAATAATAATAAAAAATAAATAAATTAGGGGAACCATAAATTTCTCCATGATAAAGGCTACACCAGCAGGCAGGCAGAAGTTCAAGAAAACTGCCAGTAACAGAGTTTGCAGCATAAGAAGAGCAATAACTTCAAAGGTTAGAAGGCTGAAGCATTTCATGTTTGAAAGATATCAAAAGTAGTTGGAATGGGTTTTCTAGGAGTCTGATTCTTGGTTGGTAATGGGTTTATTCAATAGTTAAATTAAGATTTTCTGAGCTTATTTACCAGGAGCAGGGAGGGCAAAGCACTCTCCAAATTCTGTATAGGTAATTTGCATAAACCTCTCTCTTGTATAACTTGCATGTACTTGGGTTGGTTGTTCTCCACTCAGAAAGTAGAGCTTTCTGGAGTAAAAATATCAGCCAATATTGATGTAAGATGTGAAAGCTTACAACAGGCAAGCATTCACAAGAATCATCGCAAACTAACTTAAAGTGTAAATAGTAAGCATGATAAAAGACAGTGTCCCAACTTTTTTGTACCCAACTCTGTAATTTCTCCAAGCAACCATGATTCTACTTGAGAATTCCAAAGTGAAGGAAAGCTTATGACAACAATGGACAATGTAATCAATACATAGAGCTTGTGCCTTGGGAAGTTTATAAATCCCCTTCTTTTGTTGAATATTTGAGGATGTTATGTGAAGAATTCCTTGACAGCAAATTTGACAATCTTTTTGGATGCACAAGTCTTCATAGATAATAATAGAGTGCATGCCAAATTCAGTTTTAGGGAGTAACAGATCAAATAATCCAAAGGAACTAAGGAAAGGAGTGCATGCATGCATCAATACCAATAAAACAATTCTTACTTGTGTTTCCAGGTCAACTGAGTTTAATCTCTTCCAGTAGGCATCGATGAAACTTTCCCTTTCATTTTCTGGGATAAGATCTCTAAATGACTCCCAAGCTGTATATTGAGAATAAAATACACAAACATTCAGCCATCTTAAGAAACTAAAATCATCCTCAAGCACAATCAATGTAAGGCAAGGCAACACATCAAATAAATACATCACAAAAAGAACACTATCCCAAGGACAACTCATTCATCCCCACCCCATTGATGAAATCACCTAAGAATATTCCAGTCCAGGCTGAAGTTGCATGGTGTCTAAACCAGAAATCAGTGAGTACTTTTTTTTGCCTTAAGCAGTCTGTTAAACAATACCCAACACAACATAATAATGTAGAAATAGGATAAACTAATAAGATGACATCTTTATTGACATAAAATAAAAAGAAAAGACATAATCATAACAAATGCAAATCTCTAAATCATAATTCACAAATCTGTAAGCATGTATTCTACACATCTCACTGACATCAGCCTGTCACTATACACCATGAGACATCCTTGTCATCGTTAGCACTTAAATCCTTCCGAGAGAGAGAGATGTGAAAATAAAAGGAGAGAATCATACCATCAGGGTATATAGCTGCAGCACCACCCTCATAAAACCAATCAAGTTCCTTCTTCCGCATCAAAAAGATCCCTCTAAGAATGATGCCAGTAACCTTGAAATAAAACCCATGGAACATTTCAGCAATTGATTTAGTTACCTAATGGGGAATTTATTCCAAACTATAATTTTCTAGAACGGGCTTTAATGAGAGAAACAATGACAAAGCAAACAAAGAATGACACCTTGTCTGGGTGTGTTTGGCTGTATGCAAGAGCAAGTGTACTTCCCCATGACCCACCAAACACCTGCAAAATCAAGCAGATGGAAAACATAAATAAGCACATCCGAACAAACAACTCAACCAGACAAATTTATTACCTGCCATTCCGGAATTTCCAGGTGTTTTCTTTTAATGAGAGAAACAATGACAAAGCAAACAAAGAATGACACCTTGTCTGGGTGTGATTGGCTGTATGCAAGAGCAAGTGTACTTCCCCATGACCCACCAAACACCTGCAAAATCAAGCAGATGGAAAACATAAATAAGCACATCCGATCAAACAACTCAACCAGACAAATTTATTACCTGCCATTCCGGAATTTCCAGCTGTTTTCTTAGCTTTTCTATGTCTTCAACAAGATCCCATGTTGTGTTCTCCTCCAAGCAAGCATGCGGTGTGCTCTTACCTGCACCTCGCTGGTAAAAGACAATGTTTCTCAGAAAAAAAATAAATAAATAAAATTTAGGCGTGTAGAAAAATCCCTTGGCTTTTAGAAAAACAGTTAAGATAACGAACCTGATCAAATAGAATGATCCGGTAAAAGTCTGGATCAAAGAATTTCCTGTTACTGGGAGATGTTCCACCTCCAGGGCCCCCATGGAGAAAAACAACTGGCTGCAAAGATTATAAAGATTTTATTATAAAAGTTGCAGAAACAAATATACAAATGCAATATAGGCATTCTAAAATCATAATCTGAGATCCAGTATCAGTTACGTATCTTCTCATGGCACCAAAAAAAAAAAAAAATCATCTTCTCAGAAAAAAAAAAAAAAAAAAATCACGATGTTAGAAATAAATTACTGCTTACAACATGGTCTAGGAGAGGTAGTAGATACTAGATAGGAGAAGGCTGATTCTCGTGACTCGTACCCGCCGGAAGCAGATAGCACTTGCCATCGCACTAGATCACAATCTCTAACATAATGACTTGTTTCAAGTACTCCATAATATATAGAATGAATGAATTGATTGAATTTCCACACAAGTAAAAATTGCCCATTGCAAAATTATGAGAGAGATCACACATTTAAACTAGTCATAGCTCATATTAATCATGCACAGAGCTAAGTTTATAATACATAAGAAATGTTAGAGAACCACAATTTGAATTCTCAAATTGACACTTGGCAAGTGAAATCGAAAGTTGACACATAACCTATCATGTTATTGTGGATCAATTAGGGGAGACTTTTTAAGGGGTCTCAAGCATTTTTCATTATCAATATGAGAAATGTGGAATAAAACTATACTTCCAAAAATAAATCTTCAGTAATAAATTAAATACTAGGGTTCAAATTTTGCAGTGCTATGATATGAATACTCACATGCCCATTTGGATTTCCAGACTGCTCCCAATAGATTGAGTGAATGTCTGAAACCTTCAAAAACCCAGAACTGTACGGCTCTATATCGGGATAAAGATTCCTATTTAATTCCTGAAATTCTTTCTCTGACTCCATAGATGCTACGATTTTGAGATGAAGATTTTGAGCACGCAACCCTAAATTCTTTCTTCCTGCATCATCATCATCAGACAAACCCTTGCAATCTCAAAATTCTACAACTTTATGAATTAATCAGACTATTAAAGCTTCAATTTAAGAGAGAGCTAAATTATGAGTTTGAATGTAGAAAAATAGAATTATACACACATACACACATGCCTATGCAAATAACCCTATGAATGTATAAGTGATGGTTTAAACACTAATTAAGTCCATTGGGTACAGAGAATTTGATAAAATCCAAAGAAAGAAGAAAGAAAAAAAGTTTAGAGAGAGAGAGACCAGAGAAGATAGTGAGATGACAGAGAGATTGGGACTGGGATTGAGATGGAATGAGTATGGGAATTGAGGAGAGGGGTGTGCAAATAAGAGAATTTGATGGGTTAAATCTAAACCCTGACCCTAAACTCATGGGTAAGCAATCTTTTCAAATTCCATCAATTGCTGATGTGATGATGGTTAAAGATATATATGCCTTGTAGATAATGTAAGCCTTTTCATATTGGGCTAAAAAAATTTTCAAAAAAAAAAAATTTTAAAAAGTTAAAAAATTAAAAATAATAAAAAAATCTTTCATTCCAAAATAAAAAAGTTAAAAAAATCAAACAATTAACTCATGGGTAAGCAATCTTTTCAAATTCCATCAATTGCTGATGTGATGATGGTTAAAGATATATATGCCTTGTAGATAATGTAAGCCTTTTCATATTGGGCTAAAAAAAATTTCAAAAAAAAAAAAAAATTAAAAAGTTAAAAAATTAAAAATTATAAAATGATAAAAAAATCTTTCATTTCAAAATAAAAAAGTTAAAAAAATCAAACAACTAAAAAAGCTTCAGACTAAAAAATTTAAAAAATTAAAAAATCATTGTCAAACGATACCTACGCAATCTTTTCACATTCCATTACCACATTGCTTTTCATCTTTTCTATTTTTTAATAACAATATGCTTTGCATCTTTGTACGGCTTTATTTTATTTTGTTTAGTATTTGTTTTATTCCATTTGTTTTTATCTTTTGAGTTCATGGAATATGTATTGAACTCTGATAGGGAGCCCGAAAGCTCCCCCTCGAATGCCCCGAATCTCCGTTTTTTTTTTTTTTTGCAGATCAAAAGAAGGAAGAAGGAGGAGGAGGAGGAACTGGAGGGGGCCCAACAAATGGGGCTAGAGGCGGAGGTGGGGGGCGGAGGCCAGGCAGAGGCGACGAGCTGCTGCTGCGACGATCGGCGGCGGCGGAGGCACAGGCGACGATCGGCAGCGAGCTTTCTCCCTCTCTCCTCCTCTTCCCCTCTCTTCTCTTTCTCTCCCTCTTCCTCTGCAGACTCGAAAATGGAAGGAAAAAAAGAAGAAGAAAAAAATAAAAATATCCAAAACGATGTCGTTTTAGACATTCAGGACATGCGGGGGAAAGAAATTCGGGCAACAAATCATTTTTCATATGTATTAGTGTCTGTTTATAGCCTAGGTTTGGTAATCTCATTGGTAATATATCTTTTCAAATTCCATTACCAAGTTGCTTTGCATCTTTTTTTTCTTTCTTTATTTTTTTTTTAAAACAAAAACTATATGCTTTGCATCTTTGTACAACTTTATTTTATTTTGTTCATTTTTTCCATTCTTTTTGTCTTTTAGTTCATAGAATATGTATTAGTGTCTGTTTATAGCCTGGGTTTGGTAATCTCATTGGTAAAATAGTCGTAATGGATTTTCACACAGAGGACACCTTGCATGGGTCCAAATTAGTTAAGCTGTCCATAAATTGATCCGCATGTTCGGTCATTAAAAAAAAAAGTCGAGTAAAGGTGAGCTAAATTTGTTTATCTCAAGTCCAACACAAAAATTATACAGATTAAAAATTTTAGATCGCGTTTAGTAGAGTTTTAGAATTTTGATTTGAGTGTATTATATTTTGAGTTTGTGAGTTTTTTAATTATAATGTGAAAAGGGAAAATTTGTTTGATTATAAATTTTAAAAAGAGATTTGAATGGAGTTTTGAATTTTTGAAATGAATTTTTGTTAGACTTATTTATTTTGATGATTTATTTAATTATGTTTTTAATTTATTTAGAAGAGAAAAATAGAATCAAAATTTATTTTGATGATTTATTTGAAAGAGAAAAATAGAATCAACATTTATTTTTGATAATTTTATGTTTTAATAAAATCAAAATTTATTTTGTCCCATTATTTCTCACTTAAACCTTTCTCCTAAATGTTGTTAGAATGTATTTAATATTTGATTAAATCAGGAGTTCAAACAACCCAAAAACAGAGGTTCAAACAGTCTAGCATAGCAGCAGGCCAAAAGGTTCAAAAGGTTCAAGTGGAAGATATTCAAATTTGTAATAATGGAGTGGAAGATATTCAAATTAGTAATGATGGAGTATAATGGCTATAAACGGCTATAAATTCAAATGACTACAACGGTTATAAACTACTACAATTTTTATTATATATACTAAAGCCTCTAATGTAAACAAGTTACAAAAACCTGAAAATATTCTTTGATCTATAATCACTTACATCTATTCTTAGAAATTATACACTGAGCCTTATAGCTTTAAGCCCATCTTTCCTGTGTGAGGTTTACAGAAAAATCATAACTTCATTTTTATATATATCTTTGAGAGATAATTCTTGTAATTTTCTGTGAAAGCAAAAATACCTTATTTTCAACCTTGTAAGAGTGTAGTGCACTCAGTGTTCTTGACTTAGAAAGTCAGTGTAAAATCTGTGGAGGATTGCTCCATCTGTGAAAAGGTTGCTAGCACCCTGTGAAGCTAGAGTATAGTGGAAAATCTCAAGTGAAACTTGAGGAGTGGACATAGGCCGAGTTAAAACCGAACCACTATAAATTTGTTTACCTCTCTCTCTTCTCTTTATTTTATTTTAAATTGCCATAGTTATATTTCACATTTTTACTGTGCTAAAATCATTAACTAAGATAGTTGTTAAGACACTTGTTTTAACTATTTTTATTTCATTAATTATATTTATCTATTGTGCTAGTCATAATTTTTATTAGGGTATTATTAATTTTAATTATAAAAACCTAATTCACCCCCTCTTAGGTTGTCTTTTGGGTAACAATTGGTATGAGAGCCTAGACTCTTACTTTAGATTTAACCATCTAAGAGTTTCGATCAATGGCAACCTTGGCTAGCACTAGCACTAGCACTACTGAAGGGCAAGCCACCAATAGGCCACCATTATTTGACAGAAACAACTATAGTCATTGGAAAGATAAGATGACCCTATACCTACAAGCCACTGATTATGCTATGTGGAATATTGTCACCAAAGGTCCAAAAATTCCTACCAAATTAGTAAACAATATTAGTGTACCTAAAACTGAAGATAAATGTGATGAAAGGATCACAAATTATTGCAAGCCAATGCTAAAGCCAAACTCACCCTTGTTTGTGGATTAGATTCTAAGGAGTATAATAGAATTTCAAGTTGTGATTCGGCAAAGAAATTTGGGACAAACTTAAAGTAATTTATGAAGGTACAAACCAAGCAAAGGAATCTCGTATTGATATGCTTGTTTATAACTATGAATTGTTTAAAATGAACTCTGATGAATCTATTTCAAGTATGTTTACTAGATTTACTGAAATTGTAAACTCTTTGAAATCTCTTGGCAAAACTTATACCAACAGTGAGTTGGTAAGAAAAATTCTTAGGTGTTTACCAAAGAATTGGGAAGCAGAGGTCACCGCCATTATAGAAGCCAAAGATCTCTCCACACTTGGATTGGATAAGCTTATGGGTTCCCTTATGACTCATGAGATCACCATGAAAGGACGTGAGGATGTTAAAAACAAAAAGAAAAGTGGATTTGCATTCAAAACCTCATCAAATGAAGAAAAACATAAAAACTCCAGTGAGGATGAAAGGTATGCCATATTTAGTAGAAATCTCAAAAAGCACTTCAAGAAAAACAATTATAGAGGAAGAAGACCTTTTAAGAAAGAATACAACAAAGATAACAAGAAAGAACTTATTAATTGCTATGAGTGCAAAAATCCTGGACATATGAAGATGGATTGTCCAAAATTGAAGAATCATGGAAAAGACTACAAAAGAAACAAAAAGGCCATAGTAGCAGCTTAGGGAGAAAGTAAAGATGAAAGCTCTAGTGATGAAATTAAAAATGAAATAGCCAACTTATGTCTCATGGCTCTTGTAGATGAAGATTCTACTCAAGATGAGGTAACTACTCTTTATGAAGAACTTGAAAGTGCATTTCATGAACAATCAAATGAATTTAGAAAAGTTTATGCCAAAAATAATGTGTTGAAGAAATCTGTTGCATCTTTATCTATTAATGTAAAAGAATTAAAGAAAGAAAAATAATTTTGAAAAATAATTTTGATACTATTTCTAATGAGAAAACTACTTTAAAAAACAATGTTGATGATTTAACAAAAACACTTGAAAATTTTGTAAAAGGTAGAGATAATCTCAACATACTTCTTGGAAATCAAAAATGTGTTTTTGATAAAGCGGGTATTGGATATAACCATATTAAGAAACAAAATAATCTCAATACAATTTTTTAAAAGGCACCTCTCATGACACACCTTCATATTACTTGTCATTATTGTAGAAAGAAAGATCATTATATATCTTATTGTCCATTCAAAAAGAATATGAACATGAGAATTAAAAAGATTTGAATTATTAAGGGATCTAACAAAACTAACCAAGAAAGACCAAGAAACTATGGGTACCAAAAACCAACACTTGATTGTCATCTTGTAGGTTTGCTTTCAGTCCAAAGCTAAAGAAGGGAAGTGGTACCTTGATAGTGGATGTTCCAAACACATGACCGGCGATAAATCATTCTTTACTAAACTATCATCGAAAGATGGAGGATTTGTTACTTTTGGAGACAATAAGAAAGGAAAAATCATCGGTATTGGTAGCATCAGTATTTCTCCTAACCCTTCTATTGAAAATATTTTACTTGTTGATGGACTTAAGCATAACCTACTTAGTATTAGTCAATTATGTGATAAAGGTAATCGAGTTGTTTTTGATAAATCACATTGCACAATTGAAAGTACAAATGATCATAAAGCTTTATTCGTTGATAATCGCCATGATAATGTTTATATTTTTCATCTTAATGATCTCTATGCCAGTGATGTTAAATGTTTATATGTTAATAATGAAAATATTTGGTTATGACATATAAGATTTGGTCATGCTCATATGGATTTAATTGCTAAACTTTTGAAAAAGGATTTGGTCATTGGACTTCCAAAAATTAAATTTAAAAAAGATCATCTTTGTAGTGCTTGTCAACAAGGAAAACAAACTAAAACATCATTTAAATCAAAATCTCATATTTCCACAACTAGCTTTTACAACTATTGCATATGGATTTATTTGGTCTCTCGAGGACATCTAGTCTAGGTGGTAAACATTATTGGCTTG